TAGGACAAGAAAAACGGCGTAAGGGGTCTGTGGACCCCCGGTCGGAACGAAATTCCTTTCGCTTTTTGGTAGACATATAGCAAGAAGTGTCGGAATAAAATCTTTTTACACATTTAACGGTCTCGCTCCGTAACGTTCCGTTTCAGTTAATACAAGACACACTTTGTGTGCTATTTAGTTTATTCCTGACTGTACCTTTACATGGATAAGCGTTCATAACCAGCGTCATATAGTAGACCAGTCCACGATTCTATCATACTCTGAAGCCTTTCTATTCTAACACACCATTTCTAAAAGCCAACACAAATAGCACGGCATTCCACGAAGTCGCGACTGCGATATCTTAGTCGCACGTATCGCGGTTCGTATCTGCCGTGACGTGTCTCGCGTTACGCGGAACTCTCTAAATAGGCAAGATGATGATTGCTAGGGGTGGTACAATAGAATATTAGGTAATATTAATTCCATAGTCGAAGCACTTATTTCCAGTTGATGCACTTATCTAAGAGCTTGCTTTTAATATAGATAAATCTGAGTACCTGTGTATAAAAAAAAACTGCCAGTGTACAGTGGGAAAAGAGAAAATTATAGAATGTGAATCTCAAAATAAGAAGTCAATAATCAGGTACCGACCAATGGTGATGGTGAATTTAAAATACTCCTTATTAATACTCTCAGTAGGTATAAGTTTAGTTTAGTTGAGAGGTTTAGGTATAGAGGAAGAGCAATTGTATATCTCACTATTGCATTGGGCTAAGCCTGTAAAAATAGTTGTTTTTAAAGAAAATAAATAAATAAATAAATAAATCTCAATAATACCGTGGAATAGAATGTTAATTAAACTACCTAGAAAGGTGTAGATGTATTTATGTAAGTTGGATATTGGACGTGCCTGTTGGTCTAGTGGCTAGTGACACTGATTGCTAAGCCGGAGGTCGTGGGTTCGATTCCCACCCAGGACAAATATTGTGTGATGAGCACGGTGACTTGTTCTGTGTTTGGGTGTAATTTATCTATAATAGGTCACATCATGTTTATCACCAGTCTTGTTACCATAGTACGGGCTATACCTAGTTTGGGATCAGACGGCCGTATGTGAGATGTGTGAGATATTATTACCTACTTGTTTCACCATTCTTTGCACAAATGGACCCGGACCAAAAATCGCTGTTAAGCAATTCTTTAGTTGCTTTGGTCCGACTGAGTGAGGTTACTGGAGCCCTAACCCCCCCTCCCCCCTACTCCTTTCTGGACGAGGGGGGAGATATTGTATCTCTTGAGGTATCAGGTGAACTGTCTGCCTATTTGCCCCCGTGCCATAAAAAACTCTAAATGTACCTATGTGTTTTCAACCTCATCTAGCACCTCATATAGCAGAAGCGTAAATCTTCACTAATTGTTACAGAACACTAACTATAGAGTCCGAAAACCACTATACTACAAGTACCTTCTTTTTCCACTTTATTGGTATAAAACAAAACACAATTTTCACACAGCATTTGATTAACAAACCACTCTATAAAGCAATGGTAGTTAGCGAGGTGAGCGCTTAAATTACAGAGTTTATCAAAGAGTTCTAAATAGTGTTTCTAAATATGACACAGGCTCGGTGCGATCTGAGGCGGAACTTCGCCGCGCCCGACTGTGAGATAAATGTCTCAGATACGGTACAGATCGTGCGATTACTGGCGGCTGTCGTGCCACAACTCGTCGTGTGTCAAGACATCGGGAATATGAAATGTCCTGTTTGCATTCTAAATAGCTGGACACTGTTGTGATTCGATTTTTGAAAATTAGATTTACTTTTTAAAAAAAGGTTGCTTTTAAAGAAGGTATGTTTTGATACAAATGTAAGGCTATTTCTAAACTCATATGGCATACGACAACATGATATATTTGGAAAACTTAATGTATTTAAAAGAAGTGCAGAAAACTAAAAAATTTAAACAATCTGTGCTATAAAAAAAAATACCTATGCAAAAACTGCTACATACAATTAATTCTGTCTAGTATATAGGTATTTTCACCTGTCTTAGTACAAAAGTCAAGTAGGTACAAAGGAAATAAAACAAAAATACAATTTGTAAAAGAAACGAATTTCAGCCGTATTTTAATAGAATTAAAGTCGACTCTACTAGTTTGGGAAAAGGCTCGGAAGAAAAAGAAATAGTTCAATTTGGTCAAAAGCTTATTACCATCGACCGGGCACATATACTTCTAAGTAGACATACCTACTTATACATTTCTAAACACATACCTACATAGTTATAGATAAATTACCTACACCTACAGACAGAGAAAACAATATCGTTCTCATTCCAGAACATTTGCCCTATTTTAAACTACTGTTTCACGCACATTAAAACAGTGTAAAAAAAATAGATTTTTTCTTTAAACACACACACACGCAGATAAGCACAGTTTCGATAATAATTAGAGTTCATCGATAAAACCTATTTAAATAAATTTATGTGATGTCTAAGCAATCATTACTTCTACTAGGTATTACGAGTAAAACCTAAGCTACAAATATCGAAGTATCTACCTAGGTACTTGCAAAACACTCAGTAACTCTATCAAAACAAAAACAAAAGGTTAACCAACAAAGGCACATAATTCGCGTGAAAATGCACACTTCCCCCTCACACACACACTCACTAACCAGCCACGCACACACACGATCTCACACGTAAACCAAAGCCTACCACATAACGACACTGAAGTCCACTAAGGCGATTATAGTCCCCCCCACCCTGAAATTGATCTCCCGGGACCCACCCCGGCCGGCTTTGTGATGGCCCTTTATCCTGGACTATTGGTGACTTACGGCACACTCTTGGAATTTTAGGACGTACCATTATTTTGGTGGTTCTTGGGGTAAGTCAGAAATTGCGCAGCGTTATGAAAAATTATACAGCTTTACGTTATTTCGATGAATTTTCATAATTTTTTGGTGGGTGGCTTTGAATACTTACCTAATAAAAATCAGTTTAAGAAATTTTGAATGTCTTACAAATGTTAATTGTATCCGTCCTTTTTAATTATCTGTAAGCAGGTCAACACATAGACTACTGCTATTAATTACTACCGATTTTCAAACGTGTTCAAAAAAGAAAGAGATTTTTAATGAGTAACTATTTTTATAAATATTTGTTCCTCAATATTTTATAAATCAATTTGACCAATTCTTTTTATTAACAATATAAGTTCTACGAATATTTTTATGTGTATACATGTTATACAGTTTTTAAATGGTCACTAAAACATTAATGGAGCACTAAGTACTACTTACTTATAGTATTGATGCCTAAATATGTACCTATACCCGCCAGTGAGCTTGCAAATTTCATGTTCGTGTATTAACTAGGGACTATATTATTATACTCGTACTAGGTTAGCATAGTATCATTTACGTCGTAAAATGCACTACACTATAAAAAGAAAATAATAGCGATTTTTTCATAACAATTAAGCCGTAGAGGGATGTCTGGCATATGTGAAACATTTAAACTATTTTGTAGAAATAATAAAAGAAAATAATAAATATAGTACAATTAAAAACAAAATATTTAGAATGGCGACGCCTCGAAACACCGCATCACATATGCTGCACATGGGGTGGCGCGCATACCGTGGCGACTTGTCGCCACGACAGTATTCGGTCTGGACTTCTGAATTAGATGTTTTACATTTAAAAAATTATCTATAGGTATTAGCATATTTAAAAAAAAAAAACGCATTTATTTTTCAAGCCGATTTATAAGCCATAGAGTGATTGTTTTTTTTAAATTACCGATATGTTTAGTTTTATCAGCATTGCTATAAAGCCTACGGTGTCGTATCAGTAATATTCTGTTGGCACTGGCCATGAAAAGTACTTTAGAAGTAGGTAAGTATTTATATAATACACAGGTCACAAGTTTAATAGGATTTTACTAATAACTTAAGCGTAGCCATTTAACTGAACATTTATACTTTGACGTGGGTAATATGATAGTTGAGTCATAAGAGTCAGGTCACGGTGGAACTGAGCGAGGAAGAAAGAAATGGTCAAGGTAGCGATATTTTAATATACTTTAGCAAGAGTAGTGGGCAATAGAATAGACACGAACTGATTTTTATGGTTCATTGTTTTCTACCTATTTTATCTAAGTTATAGGTCATAGTGGTCGCACTAAATACTCTTTTAATCTTTATAAATGAAACGATAAAAATTGAAGCTGAATTGTTGTTGTTGTTGTCATCAGAGGTACTTGATGACAGCTCTTATTTAATTTTTCTCCATTTTGATGTTTTCTCTTCGACAGTTCGTATTCAAATGAATGTAGCTCCCGGTAATGGTGTCCTATTTATACATTTTTTTGAAGCTGAAGTAGTGGATATATAAGCAAACAGAAAAAAAATAATTTGGGTTTTTGTGCGTTCTAGAAATACTCGATTATCATTACTTATTGATCACCCCTCGTAGGATAGGATAGAAGGATGTAAGAAGTTAAATAATGCTGAATAATCATAAGATTATAAACTTATTGTTATTTTTTTGAAACGGTAGTTATATTCATAACGGAATGGGGGTAAAAGAAAACGATTAATAATATATTTATTTAAAACTGAAGAACAAATTACAAATATTTGGTTCCACGCCTTCCACGATTTGAAAGGTGACAATATTACAATAACGACGAAGAAAAGGCCTAGCGTAGGTAGATTTTCAGATTTTGAACTTTTCTTTTATTAAATGTAACACGATTCGTACGGCTTATTTGATGTTAAAAGTTTTAATTTTAGCATGTTTCAAGAATTTTGTCAAGTATTAGGTAATTGCTGGAAAAAAGTAATTAAAAAGTAATTACGTTTTTTTTGTAGCAAAGTAACAACGTAAAGTAACAGGTATGCGTGTGAAGTCTTTATTCTTAGTCATTATCACAAATATTTAAAAAAAAAACACAGAGACGATCGTTTGTAATAGACTGTACATTTAGTTTAATTTCAACCCATTCTCAGTAATTTAAGGCCAACACGTCGGTACTGTCGCGTGCTAAAGCCGCAAGCGCGGAGGAATTTAATGGTGTGGGGTGGGGGTCCTCCCTGTCTTCCCACCCTTTCGGGCCTCTCCTACTGCCCTCGCGCGACGTCCTGTCACTGACAAATGGCCCGGAGGAGAACTCGACCCCAGCACCCTCTTGAGGCTCGCGGTAACGTACTGCAGTCGTGCTGAAAATTGTTTTTTGAAAATTGTTTTGTGTTTAACAATTTCTCTAAATATTAAAAAAAGTGTTTGTATGAAGTCTAACCTATGACTCATTCTTGAATTCTTTTTACAATTTTTTTTTTCTAGTTATTAGGCTCTACGTATTTTTCTTCATTTAAATATATTTAATAGACATAAAGAAAAAACCAAATAAATACACGACTGGGTAATAACTAAAGCCCTTCTGTCATTGTCTCAAGACATTATTATTTTAACTGTTCAATAAAAATATGGTACGAAACTTTAATCAACAATCAACATCAGACACAAGAAGTACCATCTTAAATTTCTCCTGAAAAAACAAACCATCCCCTTGCTCCCGTACTCCACTGTTCTCCGAGCTAAGGGGTGCTATAATTTGTTGGGTCGGGCGTCGGCGGCGCTTATCTCTGGCGCTGGCTGCAGGCGCCTTGAGCAGCGCCTCTGCCTCCACTCTATTGTATCGGCAACTTTCGATAAACCACATTCCTAGTGTTGTTATGTACCATGAAATATTCCGGGAGCTTTGTTTTGGGTGGCCTTTAACAAAATATTATTACGAACAATAGTTCGTAACTGAGGAATGAGTGGAAGAAGACATGGAATGTGTACCTTGTTTTATTATTTATAAATTCTATACAACATGAGTTTTTACGGCAATTTCGTATAGGCTACTAGTTTTAACAGGTATAAGATATTGTTTACAGTTTAGGTAGGTATATAATATCTTGCATACTGTTGATAGCATTGTTGTTTTATTTTTCAAGGTTATGTAAGAACAACAAAATATAATTACAAACACCATAACGTATTATTAGCATACACACAAACACATCTAACACACTCTCAGACTCAGTTTCAAGTAATTTTACTTAAATCAAAGAGCCTACCGTTCAACAGTTGTCGGTGCAACTTGGTGGATATGTCAGATAATTTAAAGATAAATAATACGTACTGATTGCTTTTAATTTCGTGTAACTAATTACAAATCCACTAATCATCATACACTTTAATTATTTACTATGCTGCAACAAATTACTAAAACACACAAGATAATTTATTATTAATTGAACATCTTCAAGATAAATAAAAATATATCTACCACACGAATACTCTTACAACAGTAGTCCGACATCACAGAGTGTCCTGGTTTTGCCACAGACTGTTGTACATCGCCATAGGTTCAAACATTAATTACACACAGCCCGTAGTGCGCGACTGTACGTCGGTGTGCGCGAGACATTGACTAATGTCACTGTGTTGTTCTACTCTATGGTATCTACGTGTATACGTTTATATCAGTAATCGTTATTTATTAGATGCTATTGGTCGCATAGAGGTCGAAATTTGACAATTATTCATTGAATTATTCATAACCAGTGATCAGCTCCAGTTTCGCCCGAGTGCAATATAATAATATGCATGTATTAGGTATGCATATAAAACTTCCTTCCTAGGATCACTACTAAATTCCGTTGCGTAGTTTGAAAGATATAAGCGTACAAGAACGAAAAGCGACTTCATTTTAAACTATATAAGATAATAAAACTAGGTGTCAAAAGAAAAGTACTTAATCACCTGAACTTGGATCCACAAAACGTTACAGTGCAATCTGGTCGAAACTTCAGACATTTCAAAGGTATGTACTTGTTAGCTATCGTGAAACATGATTTTACAAATAATTTGTTTATTATGAAAGCTAGAAGCGTAGAAGCCAGAATACAACGAGACATACCTAATAGGCGATTGAACCGGTTGGTACAGAAGTGGTCTTACCCACAAGTTGATTAAACTCAAACTCAATTTCAAACTCAAAATATCTCATAAGTTCATAAAAAAACTTTCTATGTTTGTAATCGTCTCTTATGACTGTAGACTTCAGTCATAGATCAACAGGCACAATAGCAATAATTTCTGTTTTGTCAAATATTTAGCAAACTAAATATATACGTATCGAAAATCTATGATATGCCTGTGCCGATCTACAACAGCTCGTTTCCAAGGTGTTGAGCCGTATGAGAAGAAAGGGTGAACAAACTCATGGCCGCTCTTATGCAATTTACAGATAAATACAATGGCATCATTAAATATACCACAACATTGTTTCGATGAAGGTAAACAGACAATGAAGAGAAAACAAGATTTAAAAAAAAGATCGAATAAAATTTATTATATGAATGAAAAGTATTCATACTATGCTATCAAAAATTATCTGTATATTTGTACATTTTCTATTATAATCGGTAGTTAAGCCTTGATTTTATCAAACCTTTTTTTTTATTTTTCCCTGCGGAAATCCCCTCGGATACCACCTATCGGTGGCATGTCGGACTCGAACCGACTAAAACCGCACGCCGTCTCTGGTACTAATAGCTGGGGAACCAGGTATACCCTAGAAAGGAAGTCCCTGGTGCCCCGACATACCTCGGGCCATCTACAGACGAGTAGACGACCCCCCCCCCCCCGTGTGGGAACCCCATGTTCCCTCTGCTCTCTGGAAGCGAGCGCGTGATTTTATCAAACCTATAAAAAAATTGATTTCTAAAACTATCCATAAATTCATCCATATATAGTACTCCAAAACCTCTTTTCTAAGGTGAGGCCTATGTCCAGCAGTAAACTATTACAGGCTGTTGATGGTGATTCATAAATTTGTGTATTTATAATTCTGTCGATTTGTCCAGTTAAAGTCTGTTAGAGATTGTTTTTTAGCCGCCATTAGTAGATACATATTTATTGGATGTATTCTTGTTATAAAATTATTAGGTGTACAAAAAAGTTTATTCTGTTCTATTCTTCTATTTTGTACAGATAATTTTGGATAGTTTATTGACATCATTCACGTCTCTGCACATTACTTTTTACCTTATTATGGTATTTGGAGACTTAAATTTTTCTTTAAGTATTTGTAAGTTTTAAAAATATGAATATGTATGTAGGTATAATGTTTTAAATATAATTATGTAAACTAAGGTACTAAAAACGTGAAAATATTGCTTCCACGACACTAACATGGTAAAGTCATGCTTCGGCACAGATTTGCCGACTCGACCGGAGTGATAGTACAGCCTCACAAAAAAACCGGTGTTAAGCGTCTGCTTTTTACTAAGTGAGTGAAGTGACCGGAGTAAAGCCCCTCTAAAAAAAAAAGACACTGGCACTTCGGGAGTGCCAACAGAAGTAAAAACTTGAAAATTTAATTGTTTTTTTGATATCAAAAATTTACCGACATGAATATATATCTAATAACACAATATATGTTTATGTTTAATACGAGTATAATGATATTATCAATGTATTTCAACCCAAACTGAACTCTCGTGTAAACGGGACCAATATATCTAGATACAGAGGTGTCGGTAACGGTAACAGTGTCGCGAGCTCAATGGTTTTATCCCATCTCAAAAAATACATTCGTTTGTTTGTTGTTCAAAAAATAAGATTCCTTTTAAAGAAATCTGGAGTATCGAAGAAAGCATTAAAAGAGCTACAAAGCACTTATGCGCCCTCTTGAGTTTCATTTGTGTTATTATTTGTGGTCGAGTATAAATTCTGGTGAAAGATTAAAAAATGTGATCGTGTAGTATTAACAATATACAAGTTATAATACATCAACCCACAATTACTCATGTCTTGTCTTAATCCTACTTAATACAGTTAGTAGTTACCATAGAGATATAAGCATAAAGAGAACACGGGATACAGCTGCTTGTAAGTGGAAGCGATACAGGCAACGAGAGAGATAGATGCCCGATAGTTCGCTCTGTCTCTGTTTAGTTAACTTACGATTGGCTATCGTGAATTGGGAATAGGTTCGATCATAGAACAGGCGAAAGATTAGAAATTTCCCCAACCAACCACAGAGCTCGACTAGAAAGAGATAGAGAGAACTATCTATTATCCATCTCTCTTGTTGCCTATATTGCAAGATTAGGGCTCTTGTTTACTCCTTCTTTTACTCCTTTACTTATATTTCTATGGTAGTTACAGTATACGAAAGAAGACAGTTTATATTTTAAACTTTTTTCTTAAATACAACCAATTTTTTTTAAATACAACTGTTGTACTAGGAATAACTCCTGTGTCGCGGAGGACTTTACAAACATACATGAAACAAACACAAAGAACGCCCAGACTCAGAACAACAATTTGTGGATCACACAAAGTGTCGTCCCATTTGGGGATCGAACCCACAACACTCAGCGCAGTAGCACTTGTGACTTTTGAGTTACAGGTCCATGGGCGGTGGTAGTCAATTGACCATCAGGTGACCCGTCTGCCTATTTGCCCACTACACTATAAAAAAAAAAAACACAGCAATTTAATCAACTGATAGCACTTCAAGCTGAGTCGTACACAAATAATATTAACTTCAAGTTTTTTACGAAGCAATATCGTAATATCAAGAGTATCGCATAAAAACTATAAAGAGCCCGATATAGCTGATCTGGAATATCAGGCGCAGTTATTGGTGATACTCGTATAATCCTGAAACGCTGACACATATAAAAATGCTGGAATTATATCTGGACTAGTGAGCCCTGCGACTTCGCCTGCATATATCAAGAAGTACAGAGGAACTGATTTGACTCGACAAAAGTTTGTTATCTTACAAAAATAACACAAAGATAAAATACTAATTAAAAAATCAATTAAATATTGAACATTCAAACGTAAGTATAAATCATCATCATCATCAACTGCCTCTGATAGTCCACTGCTGGACATAGGCCTCTCCTTAGAAAGGAAACCTCCTTTGCCACGCTGGCCAGAATAAAATATGAATTGAAATAAGTTAACTTAAAAAAACTAACTCTGACGTCTTAAAAGAGGATCATTTTTAAATACATTTGTTTATAATTTAAAAATAACTTATTTATAAAAAAAAGTGGGTAAACCAAAATAACAGCGAATAATCTTAGTGCATGCAGTTTAGACTAAGATAAGTTTGCAATGTATTTATTTTGTACTACTACTGCGCTGTTGGTACTGTTATCGCGGTAAAAGTAGCATATGTTACTCGCTTAAATCGGCTTAGTGGGTTAGGCGTGAAAGCGTTACAAACCAACTCACTTTTACATTTATAAGTATGGAAGTATGGATGTAATAGTGTACTCATTGTTGAAGAGCCAAATCAATAAAAAAATAAAGTATTTTTTTCCATGAGACATGATGTCAAATTTGACAGACGTCAAAATCTATTAACCTTCAAGAATAGTGGTAATTGGTAATAAAAGGTATCTGCTTCTGTCATTAGAGATAAGAGGCGTGAAGAATAAATTCTGTTTAGTATTGGACGTTGGAGAAACAAACACACAACACGTTTATAATATTAAGGATAGAATGCCCCAAGTCTAGTCGGCGTTGTAAAAATACAGGATTATATAAATAAAAATATAAAATAAGATATGGTATGAAAGTGGCGTGGGGCGCAAGAAACTCGTGATCCTTTTGAATGTGTACTGTGTGGGACATAAATTGTGTGGA